CATTAAAAATAAGAAAAACGAACTAACTTACCTTATTAATAAATACCATCCCCTTATCCTAGCCATCCAAGAGACATGGCTAAAGCCTGGGTCCCATTTTAGGGTCTCAGGTTATTCATGCCTCAGGGATGATAGGAATGATGTTCATGCTGGCTCTTTCATTCTTATCTCAAAATCAATTACTTATACATTAATTTCCCGTCCTTCTCATACTCCTTCAATTATTGCTGTAGCAGTTAGAGCTCATAACATTTCTTGTCTTTCTATTTACATTCCTGAACCTAGGTTAAAATATAACACATCCAAAGCAAACTGGCATCTGTATTCCACAGTTCTAGAGGAAGAACTTTCAGCCCTTCCTCCGGTTCAGAAAGAGAATGTTCTTCAGGTGTATTCTATTTTTAAAAATTCTATTTTATCTGTTGCCAATAAGACAATTCCCATCAAAAAACCTTATGAAAATAATGCTCCTTCACCGCCTTGGTGGGATAAAGATTGTTCTGTAGCATGTAAGAAGAGAAAGGAAGCTGAATTATTATAGATATTCCCACTCTATGAATTTTGATAATTATATTTTTTATAAAAAAACTGCTGCTGAAACATTAAAATTACTATCTGAGAAGAAAAAGGCTGGATGGCTTAAATTCTATGAGTCACTATCGCCTAGGACTCATCGATCACTAGTCTGGAAAAATATAAAAAAATTTTGGCCCCTGAAAACACAACTTCTAATGACCAGTCTTATTGGCTAGAAAATTTTGCTAGTAAACTTGCTCCTCCTTCAGTACCATCTTACAATGAATGTATAGCATTTCTTCAATCACAGTCCTTGCACTATCAACACAGTTTTAGACTTCCCTTTCTCTTATGAGGAGTTATATGCTGTTTTGAGTGTCCTGGAAGACTCTTCATCAGGAATCGATGGAATCCCTTATTCTTTTATTACTAATAGCAGTGAATCTACTAAAGCCCATCTTCTTTCTATTTTGAATTATATTTACATGTCCGGTATTCCTCCTGAAGAATGGAAATCCCAAGTTATTTTACCTATTCATAAACCAGGTAAGCCTTACACTGATCCCGCAAGCTACCGCCCTATTGCTCTTTCTTGCACCATGGCCAAAATTCTTGAACACCTAATAAAAAATCGTTTAGAATGGTTTCTTGAAAACAAAAACCTTTTAGCAAAAAGCCAATTTGGATTCCGAAAGGCCTTATGCACCATGGATAGCCTTAGTACTCTAGTTACTGATATTCGTATAGCTTATTCTAAACATGAATACCTTGTTGGAGTCTTCCTAGACATCTCGTCTGCATATGGCAATGTATTTCTTCCTGTGCTCAGGCAAAAAATGCTTAATCTAAGTATTTCAGTGAGGATAGTAAATTTTGTCTCTAACTTCCTCTCTTCTAGATCCATTTACATTGATAGTCAAAATACGCTACTCCCGCCAAGAATTATATGGAAGGGTTTCCCACAAGGCTCAGTACTTAGTCCTTTACTCTATTCTATCTATACCTATGTTTTACAACTTTCTGTTAACTCCTTCTGTAACATCCTCCAATATGCAGACGATAGAGCTATATATATTTCCCTAGATAACCTTCTTGCAGCATGTTCCCGCTTGAATATATCAATGTCTTATTTTCAGGATTAGTTAACTGAAAATGGTTTGTCTTTGTCTGTTCCCAAAAGCAGGGTTATGATCTTCTCTCGCCATAGGCAAATCCCTGAAATCAACATTCTTTATAATAATCAACCTATCCCAATTAAGGAGAATGTAAAATTTTTGGGAGTTATTCTTGACTCCAAACTAGCCTTTTCTCATCATATCAACTATGTCTCAAAAAATGTGAAAAGAATATAAACATTCTTCGCGCTTTATCAGGTATCTGGTGGGGCTCCCACCCATTCTCCCAAAAAATATTGTACAACGCCCTTATTCGTAGTCATTTGGATTATGGATGTTTTGTCTTGGACCCATGTAATAAGTCTTCCCTAAAGATCATAGACAGGATTCAGTCCAAAAGCCTTCGTATAATCATCGAGGCAATGAAATCTTCACCAATAAATGCTCTCCAAGTTGAATGTGTGGACCCCCCTCTTTACCTAAGAAGACAATATCTTTCGGACCGATTCTTTTTTAAAATCTACCAACTTTCTTCCCACCCTCTCATTTCGAAATTACACCTTCTCCTGGAATATATTTCGTCAAAGAATTACTGGACTCATAAAGAATCTCCCTACTTATCCAACAGTTTGGTAACATTATTCCATCTACCACACCCAATATCACAATGCAAGTCCTGTCCCATATTTGATATCCCATATGAATATGATGCAATTATTTTCCAACCAAATATCCACCTCGACCTTGGTATTGAGAAAGATTGCTCTATAGCAAATAGTAAATTAAGTAGAGTCATAGATAATTTATGGAAAGGCTGGCTTATTATATACACTGATGCCTCCAAAAAGTCAGATGAAAGTTGTACTGGAGCAGCAGTTTGGATTCCCAGATACAAAATCATTCTCAATTTTAAATGCCCTTCTAATTTTTTCCACTTTTGCTGGCAAGGCCACGGCAATTCATGAAGCTTTAATATAATATATAATATAACACATATAACACACAACTTAAATAAGTCAGTTATTCTTACCGACTCCAAAAGTTGTTTGTTAGCAATATTGTCAAAACATTTTTATACGTGGTAGAGCCATGCTGCTTCTATATTATGGTTGTAGCACGAATGGGTCGGCTCGACCGGGGAAGGACCACGCTCTCACAGAATACCAGCGTAAAATAGCAGCTTAACGCTGCTGTGTTTCGTATGGTGAGTATAGAGAACCGGAGACCCTTTTTACTGGAAACGAGGCATTCCATCTTAGTCCTCACGGGTGACAACGCATCTGCATTTTGACTCTTAATCGAAGATAGATGTAGATGTCTATGGGCCACAGCAACCACTTACCATCAGGTGGACTGTGTGCTCGTTTGTCACCCTTATCCTATAAAAAAAAAACCAGTTCCAAAGTAAATATAAGACACCCTTGATCCTCAAAATTAAACACACATTGTATAGATATCATCTCAAGGGCATTCAGGTTTCCTTAGCTTGGATTCCAGGTCATAGTGGCATCAAGGGCAAAGAAACAGCCGATATGATGGCTAAAAATGTAAGTCGAAATGGTTTGCCATGTAATTTAACTTACTCTTCAGACATAGTGTTACTTGCAAAGAGGAAGTTAAATAATAATTGGAATACATTATGGAAAGCCACTCAAAATATAAAAGGTAAACACTATGCTGCTATACAATGTGCCATGGTTCACTATGTGCCATGCTATACAATGTGCCATGCTCCAAAACCATGGTTTTTCAAATTTAATAAATCTAACAAACATTCTACATCAACTATTTGTAGACTTAGAATTGGCCATGCCATGTCATGCCATGTTCCCTCTGCGAAAGTAGGTTGGATGAGGGAACCTCCGACCATTTTTTTTTGACAGTCCTAAATTTTCTTGTTCACTCTATGATCATCTCCCTCCTGACATCCCTCGTCCTATAAATTTTGATTCACTTTTAACCTATACAAACACTCCTCATGTATATATTCTGTGATTTCTGTGTGATTTTATTAACACTAATAGAATAAAAGTTTAATATTTGTCAATACTAACATACTAATGTAGTTATAGCAACCGTGTTTGTCATTTGTTCTAGGTAACTCAACAGTAAAACCATTAGTGCTACAAGATAAAAGGGGAAAGAATGCGTTCAAAGAAAAAAGATACTTGTATTATCACAATCTTCTCCTTTATATGGGCATAGTATTTGTAACTACTGAGCTTCTACTCAATAAACGCTTTCACGCTGACATTGGCGAATGATCAAAACCGCCATAAAAAAGAAAGAAGAAGAAGAAAGAACTTGACCAGCGGCGGTTTGCTGCTCTTGTATTGTAGTTTAAACAATAGTTTGAAGAGGAATTTGATATGTAAAAGTGGTGCGATTTTATGTATTAACTTTCTACGCATGTGTACTATTAGTGGAAACAGTGAAACAAGTGCTCTTATGGTGATGTATTCTCAAGAAATTACATCCTTGGTTAATCGTAGACAAATATCCGACTTACTCTTCGCAAACAAATTATTAAATAATAAAATTAACTGCCCTCAATTGTTGAATAAGATGAAATTTCGCGTACCTCATAGATACCCCCGTAAGAGAATAATTACTATTAGATCACCTCTTCGTAAAACAGTATTTGGCGCAAATTTCCCGATCTCTAGGTTAAGTAAATTGATCAATAACTTCCCCATGCTTTTGATATTAATTCCGATTTACCTAACAAGCTCAGAAAAGAACTATTCAAGCATAATGTAAATGTAATAGATAAAGTTTTTGTATTTTTTTTAACGTTTTGGTTTTCTGTAACTATGTATTATACTTGATGTTCATTCCAGTGCATGTTGTAATCACCTATAATAGTTTGTAGCATTTAAAGTAATACCCTATCTACGTATGCATGTAAATTATAATTTTAACAATGTATACAAATGTCGGTGATGCTTTAATAAAAAAAAAAGATAAGCTGTTTGTTTGCATAGGCACCTTTACATACCATCGCCAACTGTTAGCTGTCTACTGGCTCAAGTTGCCGTCAACATCTCCCAAGGGCTGCACAATAGGACGCATCAACATATTATGAAGCAGTGAAATTCTATATATTCAAAATAAAAAAGACAAGGCTGTATGGCATAGTTCCTTTGCCTGCTCTTTCAAGCGAATAATAAAAACAACAACAACAACAGGTGTTAACTGAGGCTGTATGGCTTAGTTCCTTTGCCTACTCTCTCTAGCGAATAATAAAAACAAACAGATGTTAACTGTCAAATTGTCAATACAAAAAATAATAACATGTACATGAGCAATTAACTAACCTCAAATTGTCATTTAAAATTTCTATTTGTTACATATACATATTTAGTCACTATGAAAATAAACGTAGAACAAGTTTATACATCGATTGCATGTAATCGCACACCAGAAATAGCGGACTGGAATGGTGAAGGTAACATTTGTTTTGGAGCTTCAAATGCTGTTATTGTTTACGATACGGTATGTTTTGCATCTTCATATTTTATTTTATTTTATTATATGAATTCATTTCTGTAAAATATATCGTGTTTTAGTTAGGTTCGAAAAGTTACACTAGCTTATGATTTATCTACATGGTTTTGTTAAGAAATGTGTTATAGTTAGTGTAAAGTGGTAAAGTAAAAAATGACTTTCAATAAGAATTACACATGTAATGTATATTGAATAAAAATTATTCTATTCTATTCTATAAGTTAGAACAGACCTTCATTATAAATTGTGTTTTTTAAAATTTTAGAAACAGAAAGGCAACAATCCTATTACAGTTCTCTGCCATCACAAGTCGAAGGTAAATTCAGTAAAATGGCTACGTAAGCCTGATGGCACATGTAATGAATTTGTGTCCTGTTCTGCTGATAAGACTGCTGCAATATGGTCTTTGGAAAAAGGAAGTTGGAAGGTCACAAGCATGATGACTGGCCATACTAATGGCGTAACCTGCATTCATGGTGTATACACAAAAGGAGATGATTTGGCAATTTATACTGGCTCAATAGACTGTAGTGTTAATGTGTGGGAGAGATGTAATGGTGAGTAGTTTAAGTTTCATTTGGACATTCTCAGATCATCATCATTATTTATGAGAAAAGTGAGAAACTATTAAATGAAACATTCTGTTGTTGAACCACTCAGTGACCTCCCGTAACCATGGGTGTTGTAAAGTGCCTGAAATGCCAGGAATTAAAAAGTTAAATTTAAATGCAATATAATCTGTAAAATTAATCATTTAATGTGTAGTATTTACGAAAATATAAGAAGTAGTGAGAAATAGTTTCTCACTACTTCTTATATTTTTTTAAGTTTAGGTAAAGAATTACAAAATGGGTAAAGATTTTTATATATGAATGAGTCCCACTGCTTGGCACAGGCCTCTCATTTAGGAATAGACATAACTTTTAATGCCATCAATATACTCACACAGTATACACTTTGAAGTAGATAGAAAACATACTAGATTTTTTACATGGTAGAGCCATGGTGCAGCTATATTAGTGTTAGTTGTAGCGAGAATGGGTCGGCTCGAACGGGGAAGGACCACACTCTCAATACCAGCATAAAATGGTAGCTTAATGCTGCTGTGTTTCGTACGGTGAGTGTGGAGAACTGAAAACCCTTTTGAAATGAGTCATTCCATCTTAGTCCTCACGGGTGACAACACATCTGCATTTTGATTCCTAATCGAGGATAGATGTAATTGTCTTTAGGCCACAGCACCACTCACCATCAGGTGGACTGTGTGCTCGTTTGTCACCCTATCCTATAAAAAGAAAAGATAAAAGAAACAAATACACCTTATAAATATTAATATCAATATTACCTGCAATAGTACCTGCATTATTGTAACTTCTGATAGGGTTGTGCTACAGGATGTGCTGGCGGCAACATATAATATTAATATATAACATTTTTCCTTAGAGAAACAGGTTGCCTCACGATATTTTCCTTCACTGCAGAACTTGTGGTAAACCATTACTTAAGGTGGAATGGTCACCTAAAGCAGATTTTTGACGCTTTATGGCTGTGAAGACATTCAATTTTTTGTCATTAAAAACTACGAAATCACCTTTTTTTTAAATCATTATGAAAGATAAAGATTTTTCTTAGTCAATTATATTGGCCAAAACACGATTGACACATTTTGGCTCCATACAAAGTGTTAACACAATGAAATAATTTATTATAAATAAATATGCACTTATGACACAATATATGTATTCATCACGACACTTAATTACACTTTGACTAATTCGACGCGTGTTCTCAAAACGGAATGCCCAAGAATCATGATGCACCCTAATTTATACATTTCCCTTTCCACTTCACATTTCCCCTTCCACTTCTCTTCCGTTGTGCATGAAGAGGGGTGGACGATGTTGGTTGCCAACAAAAGAAACCATACAATTTTCTTAAAATCTACAATTTTAGGTAACCCCATTAACGGAAAAAGTATAAATGTAATTAAAGCAATTTCAATTAAATTCTGTCTATGTGTTCACCAGTAAATACACAGGGGAATTATGGGTTTATTTTCCAATAAAAAAAGTATATTTCATTTTAAAAAGAAATATCAAATAAATATTGTGCAATAAAATTGCACGTGGGCCGGCCAAACAGGAGCAAGTCGCCGCTCCGAATGTAATGAAATGAATACGATACTATATCAACTTAAAATTGCAATTAACAATTTTATTGGTATTGGTAGGGATTAAGCCTGAGTTGCTTTCATACTTTAAAATTTACAATGAGTGCTTAGCCTCTCTGCTACTAGGACTCTGTTACCATTACAGAATGTTAAAGTCCACTGCTGAACATAGGACTTTCCCATAGATTATATATTGCCACAGTCGCCACGCTTGACAAGCGGGTTGGCAAGTGCAGTTTTTTATTTTTCGTCATGTCATTATCACAAAGACACTGCTGCCCATCTCATGTTTTGTTTACCTTTGTCATCTCTTACGACACCCATGGGATGATATAGGGTAATGGATATTCTTACACCACTCCACTGAAGCCACCACTCCATGGACTCCACTGAAATCGATTGCAACGTAATAATTAAAATTCTAAATAAAATATTATTAATAATTAACTTTATTAAAAAAAATTATACTTTCAGGTGTAACATCGCTTAAACAAACAATAAATCTGAATTCAGGTCTTTGTTTGACACTGCATGCTCACATATTTCCGAAAGTTAACAAACCAGTCCTCTTCTGTGCTCTTGATGACCACAAAATACATTTGTTTGCTGGTGAGGAATATCACAGAGTGCATATGTTGATGGGCCATGAGGATTGGGTTCGTGGACTTGATGTTTTGGATGTTGGTAAGTTCTTTTTATGGGATTATATAAAACCAAGGTTCTAATATGGAAATCTTTTATAACCACATTTAGTGTGTAATAAATTAATAAACTAACTTGATACCATTTCATAATAGGTGAAATAAAATCTGTAGTGTTGAAATAGCTGCCTTATATGGAGCTTGAGTTATTTGCGTGCCATCATGTCATGAATAACCATATTCAACCAACTTAAAATCAGGAGGAGGTTCTCAATTCGATTGTATTTTTTTGTGTGTTACCTTAGAACTTTTTTATAGGTAAACCGATTTTGATGATTATTTTTTTAGGGTTCCGTACCCAAAGGGTAAGCAATGGGACCCTAATTCTAAGCCTCCGCTGTCCGTCTCTCTGTCAGCGGGCTGTATCTCATGATTCATAATAGATAGTTGAAATTTTCACAGAATATGTGTTTCTGTTGCCGCTATAACAATAAATAATAAGAGAGGATCCCCTACTAGAAACGTGTCTTACGAAGGTACGGAAGGGCCGGTTTTTTTGATCAAGATCTGACCAGTAGTTTTTGAGTTATCCTTAATAATGCATATTTAATTGACTTGCGACTACATTGATGATGTACTCATTTTATTTATATTTAAGTTGCTTGTACAAAATATTTAATTTTACAACGTTTTTGAAATGGCTGAACTGATTGTAATGAAACTTTATAAATAATAGTATGCAATGTCAGAAGTGATGTGATTTGGACGATAAAAAATGGATATTATGAAAAATAGATAAAATAAATGGTTTTTGACTATCTGAAATCTAAATGACTTTAACTAATAATTAGTAGATCTTACCCAGGTGAAGCCAGGGCGGGTCGCTAGTTAAGAAATGTAATGCTTCTTTCATTATTTTTAACATCATCCTTAAGTGCTGTAATTTGAAATCACTAAATTTACGTGACAACAATTGCAAGCATAAATTATATATTTATCATATACCTTATACAATTATTTTTTCTATAGATGAAAACTCCGTTCTACTTGCATCATCATCCCAAGATACCTATATTCGCTTGTGGAGGATCCACAGTAATGAGAATGTTGAATCCACTTCTGACATCCGAGTGGAACAGAAAGTCTTTCGTGCATATGAAAAAGACTGGTTCGTGAAGTTAGACGCAATACTCGCTGGACACGAGGGTTGGGTTTATGGAGTTAATTGGCACCCTATGAGATACGACAAAGGTAAATTTCAAGTTTTTAAATCGCTTAGAAATGACTTTAGTTTTTAAAGAGTAAGTTTATTCTACACATGTCAATTTGCTCTTTGGCATGGTTTTTTCAAAGAAAATTGAATTAAATTACTCTAGCAAGGTAATTGAAAATGCCTTGCCTCAATCTGTAAGGTTCTTAACTGTAATATACAGAGTTATTTTGAAATAACCGGCCAAATTTGCAGAGAAGGTTTAAAATAAGTAATATAGGCAAATGGTGAAGAAATTAATTTAAAAAGTCTCAAATATTCTGTCCTTTTTATCTTTTAAATTCAAAATGCGTAGTAATGCATTGTTTTAACTGATTTTACTGAGCACGCATACATTCGTAAGGGTCGATCAATAGGCCAAAACTTTGCTTATAAATCACATTCAATTTGGGATATTTTAAATTAAAAGTAGAAGCCTTATTTACTCATATTTTCAAAAACTGCAATAATGGCATATCATTGTTTATATAATATTTTAAATTAACTTTAAAATTTGGCTTCTCTTTGAAAAATAACTGTATATTTTTAATTAATAGATACCCAACAGAAAGTTCCAGTTTATCGGCTTTTGTCATCGTCTCTTGATAAAACCCTCATTATTTGGGAGCCTGACTCATCTGATCTGGGGGAGGGCGCCTGGGTTGAACGTGTACGTGTGGGCGAAGTAGGAGGAAATGGACTCGGCTTCTATGGGAGCCGGTTTGGACCGGATGGAAAATCTTTCTTGGGACACGGATACAACGGGTCTTTCCATATTTGGAATCTAAATGAGGTGAGTTTATACATCTTTATAGAAAGGTTAGTAAGAATTACGTCTTTGTACGCAATATGTTTTTCCTGTTTCATCTGACAAAACTACTCTTGTTTGTGTTAATATAAACTAAAAAAGTCACGAATTGTATTGTATTATGAACCTATGAACCATTATTATATTTATTAAATCCAGCTCTGGATATTGGTCTTTTTAAGATGCACTAATTTGAGCTGATTTGACTAGGCAGTCGGATTATTGGAAAGAGAATCCTGCTTTACGTTTAAATAATTAAAAATTAAAAATTTGTACAATTGACTTCAATATAAATTATTAAGAATAGCTCAAAAACTATTGGTCGGACCTTAATCAAATTTATATGTGAAGCACCAGCTTTCAAATAAAAAAAGAATAACACATAAAAAAAGCAGTCGAATTGAGTACCGTCTCCTTTTTGAAGTCGGTAGAAAAGTGAGATTACAAGCAAGTAGTCTTACTTTCTTTTATTAGCTTGCAAAAGTCCAAAGTTTGATATAGACCTTTCCCGTTGTTGGGAGAATTTATTTTAATGGTCACCCCGCAGTCTAACTACAACAGTCGGTCCTCGAAGGGGTCTAGACATGGCAATCATGCGGTGCGGTGTAGGGCGAGACGCGGTCTAAGCACTGGGAACTGTTCGCTAGGGTTGTTCTGTCACGCAAATAAATTAAAATCGTTCACACTACATGTGATCGTCTCACTACGAGTGAAAATTGTGGAACGTCCTCATTTTAGGACAATTAATTAATTTCACCACATACACATTAATTTGTTTATACGTGAAATAAAATAAAATCAGTTTTTTATTTTCTTATTACTTCCCGTTCTGACAACCCTATCAATTTATAGTTTATGTCGGCTTTTCCGACAACATCGATGACTGACTGTATGTTCTTCTTAGGCTGAGGTCACGCTTTGCAGGCGAATAAGGCATATTAACGATCCCAGTGCCTGACGTCTCTCAACAGTCTGGGTATTATACGTGTAACTTTGATTACCCACTAGTGATTTTCCTCCAACACTCAGTCACTAGGTTTTGTACAGACGGTAATGTGTATCGGTGGTATTTGAAGCATGTTTGGATATACTGCTGGACGTAGCATATACATGCAAGTAAAATCACACACAAAGTCCACATCATACCAATGTACATACATACATACATACATACATACATATAATCATGCCTCTTTCCCGTAGGGGTAGGCAGAGACCACTTCTTTCCACTTGCTACGATCCTTACATACTTGTTTCGCTTTGTCCACTTTCATTATTCTCTTCATACATGCTCTACGGTTTAGGGTGCTCTTGACCTGGCCTTTTTTCAACACGTCCCTGATTTGGTCTTGAAATGTCCGCCTAGGTCTACCCTTTCCAGCACTTTCATTCACACTCGCCTTATACACTTTTTTCGTCAATCGTTCTTCATTCATTCTCTCGACATGGCCAAACCATCTCAGCATACCTTTCTCAATTTTTGTCACTACATCTTCTTTCAGACCACAACGTTTCTTTATCTCACTATTTCTTATCCTGTCACTCAGTTTAACTCCTATCATACTTCTTAAAGCTCTCATCTCAACTGCATTTATTCTGCTTTCGTGTTTCTTCTGCCATACCCAACTTTCACTTCCGTACATGAGTGTCGGAACCAACACCCCCTCATGCACAGCCAAACGAGCCTTGTTAGACACCTTCCGACTGCTCATAAAGGAGTGCAAAGCTCCATTCACCATGTTTCCTGCATTCACTCTTCTTTCGATATCACTCTTCCACTTTCCATCTCTTGTAAACTTTGAATCTAGATACACAAACTCTTTCACCTGTTCAATTTGTTCATCTCCAATCACGATATTGCAGTCTGTCACTGCCTCATCTCTTTCAAACATCATCACTTTCATCTTCCTTACATTCATCTTCATTCCCTTCCTAACAAAAACTCCACTCATAGTAGTTACCATCTCCTGCAACTCCTCGGCCGAAGACGCAAGTAATACTTGGTCATCAGCATAGAGAAAACATTTGACGAGTAACTCATTCATTCCCAACCCGCTTTCATTCTCTTTTAAATCTGTCAAGCAATTGTCCATAAACAGATTAAACAGCCACGGTGACGCTACACATCTCTGTCTAACACCTTTTTCGATATTAAACCATTCAGTGTATGCCCCGTTTATCCTTACACAAGCACTAGAATTCCTATAAAGAGATTGCAATGTTCGTACGAGGTTACTGCTCACGGCGTTCACGGACAGTGCTGACCACAATTCATTCCTCACCACTCTATCATAGGCCTTTTCTAGATCCAAGAACGCGCAATAAACCTTCTTGTTTTTAGCCAAACACTTTTCGGCTATGCACCGCAAGGAAAAGACCTGATCCGTACATCCCATTCCCTTTCTAAATCCCGCTTGTTCATCCCATACTTTTTCGTCTGTTTCATTCACAACCCTTTCGATCAACACTTTCACATACAATTTACCGACGACGCTGAGAAGGCTTATACCGAAGTAATTTATGCAGTCCTGCCGTGACCCTTTTCCCTTATACAAAGGCACGATACTTGCCCATTTCGCCAACACAAATTGAAAAGGCGGTACAGCTGACTAGCCACTATGCCCTGTCCAGCCCTCAGCATCTCGACGGTAATCCTGTCATACCCTGCAGCATTACCTACTCTCATACTTTTCAACGCTTTCACTATTTCATCCATGTTTATCTCACTTTCATCAACATTTATATTAGTTTCTATGGAAGGTGCCGGATGCTGTACCTGCACTTCCTCTCTTTCAAACAAACTTTCAAAATACTCTTTCCATCTCTTTAAAACAAATTCTTCTCCTTTTATAATGCAGCCATCTTGACTCCTGATTGTACTCAGCTCCAATTTAGAAGTTTTTCCTCTGGCTGTTTTGATGGATTTCCAGAAAAACTTAACGTTTGACTGGAAATCTTCAGTAAGTCTCCTAGCGAAATCATCCTTTCTTTCTTCTTTCTTTCTAGACAACTTCTTTCGCTGCTGTTTTCAATCTTTTATACTTCGTTCTTGCTTCCTTTATCTCGTCATCCTTGCCTTTTGAACGTTTTGGTTAGCTTTTGTTGCTAACCAATCCAACCACGCTTTCTTCTTTTCTTGCACAACCCTTTGTATATCTTTATCCATCCACACGTTATAGTTCTTTCTTCCTTTCTTTCTTTTAGCTATCCCGCATACCTCAATAGCAACATTCACGACCCCTTTCTTAAATGTCTCCCACAAATCTTCAATCACACCTATCTCTTCTATGCCTTTAAAACTTTCTTTCAGTTTCTCTACATACTCATCTTTCTTTTCTTTTTCTTGTAGATTTTCCACTGATTTTACTCTGTCCAGAACACTCGTAGGCTCGGCCTCTCAGTGTCGCCACCGTTTAAAGAGGCCACTCATTCACGCTATGACCAGAAAGTGGTCTGTGTCGAGGCCTACACCTCGGTATGCCCGAGTGTCTAGCACTTTCTTCCTCAGTCTTTCATCCACAATTACAAAATCAATCATACTTCTAGACTCACCCTCATCTCTTGTATACAAATTGATCTTTTTGTGGTTAAACATTGTGTTGGCCACGCACAAATTCCATTCCAAGCATACTTCAAGCAGGTTTCTCCCATTGTCATTCACTCTCTCGTCCCCAAACGTACCCAGAACTCCTTCATACCCATCACGCTTTACTCCAACCCATCCATTAAAGTCCCCTAACATCACGATCCGTTCATTTTCTCCGCATTTATTGAAGACCTCTCTCATGCTATCCTAAAATTCCTGTCTCTCTCTTGTTGGTATTTTAATGACCCACCTCCACGCAGATCCGTCGGTGCATAGACTCCAAGGATAAACAAGCGAGTGAGTCCGACTTTTAACCTAATCCAGAGGAGTCTTGGGCTTATTTATTCATGCTCCATCACACATTCAACCATTCGAGATGAAAGAATCACACCAACTCCCTGACAGACTCGGCTGGTTTGGGGGACTCCCGACCAGTATGCCGTGTAGGGCTGAACATGAACCGTGGTGTCACATCCTTTCCCCTTGGTTTCGTTCACGCACAGAATGTCAATGCATCGTTCATCCATCATCTGACATACTTCATCTATCTTACCATCCATTCCTCCTCTTACATTCAACGTAGCGAAGCGGCTCTCTGTGGGCCGCTTTTCGCCCCCGCGAGAATCGAGATGTGATGGGTGGCGAATCACATCGCCGCCATTTTGGTTAATTAAATTATTTTTATTATTGTTCATTGCGTTCCCACGAATAGCGAGGGAAAGGTTTGTCCCCCCCAGCAGAGCCCCGCATGCCAGGGTAAGGCTAGCCTAATTCTGGGGTCGCCCGGTCCCAGGGCAGTGTGGCACGCTAACGACTAGGCTTGCCCCTAGCCATGCATCCATCTGCGCGGCAGACGTTGGATTGGCGGGGAGGGTAGGATTAGGAAAAGGGGAAGGATAGGTGGTGTGAAAAGGAAGAGTAAGGTAAGTTAGGGTAGGAAATAGGAAATGTAGGATATTACCGTCCAGGAGGGCAAGGGATAGGACAGTAATAGCTAGGGAAGCCGGGGTCGCATACCCGTATACTATACCACAACTACCGGACAGGTAAATTGTCAATGTGGCAGTGTAAATTTAAAAAGTGATGAAGACAGTTCTGCGGTGGTATGTATAACGTTCTTTATTGACATTTTCAAGGAGACTAAGCGATGGGAACCGAGGGTGGTATGTGGTGGTCACTTTGGTGGTGTTGAAGATGCGAGGTGGGAACCTGAAAACGGTCGCTACTTGCTTAGCGTTGGGCTTGATCAGACTACCAGACTTCATGCACCCTGGACGAGAGCTGATGGTGAGTAATTAGATCTTCTGTAACATGCTTTTACTTGTACACTATTGGCTAGACTGGGTTGTTATGACATTGTTCAAATACTGATAAACGCGTTATGCAATTTTCTGAAAATTCAACCCGGACATGTTTTACGAATACTTTATCGTTGAGAGTCCTGCTCGAAGGACCATCTTCAAATTATTTATTAAACGACGGGCAACCTTGTGTAACAGTGCCTGGACATTAACATCCCTATTATAATTATTTTTACGTGGTAGAGCCATGCTGCAGCTATATTAAAAGTATAGTTGTAGCACGAATGGGTCGGCTCGACCGGGGAAGGACCACGCTCTCACAGAAAACCAGCGTAAAATAGCAACTTAACGCTGCTGTGTTTCGTATGGTGACTGTAGAGAACCGGAGACCCTTTTTACTGGCAAAGACGCATTTCATCTTAGTCCTCACGGGTGACAACGCATCTGCATCTTGAGTCTTTATTGAGGATAGATGTAGATGTCTATGGGTCACTGTAACCACTTACCATCAGGTGGTCTGTGTGCTCGAAAAAAAAATTATGCCAATAATATTACCGTGTAGTGGCATTGTAAGAAATACCACTACTAGTATCCCGTGGGTGTCGTAAGAGGCGGCAGACGAAAATAAAATCAGGAGTTGGGCAACAGCGACTGCCTAATAACGACTAAAAATAAAAACTGCGGTAGTCAACCTACTTGCCGAGCTGGTAACTATGTAAAATATCTCCCCTATGAGGCAATCTATGGGGAGGGCTATGTTCAGCAGTGGACTTTAATGTTCCGTAACGGTAATAATTTACGAGCAGCGACATTGAGCAACAGTCAAGACATTATGTACTATCGGTAGCAAATATAGCAAATCAAATAACTCCAATTTTCCAACTTTTTGGAATAGACCATTAGTTCTCTAGTCCAGTGACAAACAAAATAATAGACTGTAATTTTGTTTGTCACTTAAGTCTCATAAGAAAGATCATATTTATTTTTACTTTGTCTTTAAATAGATAGACAGTTACTTATTTATTGCACACACCAAAACACAAAATAAGAGAAAAAAATAACATGAAAAAATAAATTTCAAAAGGTCGGTCTTACCGCTAGAAGCGATTTTTTCCAGACAACCATTATTTATTTTCAACCGACTTCAAAAAAACGAGAAGATTCTTAATTCGATTGTCGATTTTTTTGTGTTACCTCAGAACTATTTTCTAAGTGAACCGATTTTAATGATTCTTTTTTTATTTGAGAGCTGGTGCTTCTCATGTGGTCCCATATAATTTGATCAAGGTCTGACCAGTAGTTTTTGAGTTGCCTTACTAATGCGTATTTAATTGACTTTGACTACATTGATGATGTTCTCATTTATTTATATTGAAGTCGGTTGTGTGTGTGTGTGTGTGTGTGTGTGTGTGTGTGTGTGTGTGTGTGTGTGCGTGTGTGTGTGTGCGTGTGTGTGCGCGCGCGCGCGTGTGTGTGTGTGTGTGTGTGTGTGTGTGTGCGCGTGCGTGTGTGTGCGCGTGTGCGCGTGTGCGCGCGTGTGCGAGTGCGCGTGCGCGTGAGCGTGAGCGTGAGTGTGCGCGCGCGTGAGTGTGTGTGTGTGTGTGTGTGTGTGTGTGTGTGTGCGCGTGCGTGTGTGTGTGTGTGTGTGCGCGTGTGCGCGTGTGCGCGCGTGTGCGAGTGCGCGTGCGCGTGAGCGTGAGCGTGCGTGTGTGTGTGTGTGTGTGTGTGTGTGTGTTGTAAAATTTTTGATTTTACCACTTGGTATTTGTTTACTAATAGACAAAGTAAACAGAAATCGGATTATATGTTTAAGGAAGTGGAGTGGAGTGGCACGAAATAGCCCGCCCCCAAGTGCACGGGTACGATATGGCGTCGTTAGCACTGGTTAATTCTTCAACCTTCGCGTCAGCGGCTGAGGAGAAAGTTATTAGGGTGTTCCAAGCACCTCACAACTTTTTGCAGAACTTCAATAATATTGTGGGAGAGCCGCTGGTTGTGGGAGATGTGGGGGGTGAGTTACATTAGTTTAATATTGTAAAATAAAAAGCATGGATGTGACGTATAATCCTCTATTAGCAAACTGAATTCAACAACGATCCTGACATACAATATATCTACAATTTACCAAAATTTCATATATTTATATTTTTACGTAGTAGTATAGTTGTAGCACGAATGGGTCGACTCGACCGGGGAAGGACCACGCTTTCACAGAATACCAGCGTAAAATGGCAGCTTGACACTGTTGTGTTTCGTATGGTGAGAACCGGTGACCCTTTTTACTGGAAAAAGAGGCATTCCATCTTAGTCCTCACGGGTAACGATGCATCTGCATATTGATTCTTTATTGAGGATAAATGTAGACGTCTATGGGTCACAGCAATCACTTACTATCAGGTGGACTGTGTGTTCGTTTGTCACCCTAACCTATAAAAATATATTTACAAATATATAAATATATATAATGAATTCTTATATGTACGCAAACACTACTAATTTACTTACCGGAGTACCTTCAGCTTTTTAATTCTTCGCAGAATGAACTTACTGTGTATTGAAGTCTTGCTGTGGTATGCTTGGATTTAGTTTTAATTTTAAAATCCAGCCTCCTTCTCTATTGAAATTAGGAAGTTTTTATATTTCAATAGCCTTGGTATGAATTGATGTTCTTTCGCAAAGATTTGTGATCTATCAAATCTGATGTAATGACGGGGGCCGTCTAGATATGATCACAAACTTAAAAATAGGTAAATTAAACGCGATACGAATCCGTAAAAATAGTTTTATTCTAAATATATTGATTGTTATGTGATGGTGGTGTTATAGGATCTATTACCCCCTTTAGTCCCGTGCATGACTATGGGAGATGCAGAAGATATCATGGCGTTAAAGCGATGGTAGTATATTCATTTAGCCAGACGTAAATAACCAAACCCAAACTGTCTCAGTCTAGTCGACGTAAAATAAATAAGTTAATTAATTTTTTGACATGCACTCACTCACGTCTTTTTCTTACTTAATCAAATTTCTTTTAAACTCCACTGCTAGACGACGCACACATGTGCCCCATTTTATATCTACACAAATAAATAAAATTGATGTGTCTGTTTGTAATGTTTAAATAACACCATTTTGTGCCGACTTCCAAAAAGGAGACGGTACTCAATTCAACTGTATGTTTTTTTATGTGTGTTACCTCATAACTTTGTACTGGGTGAACCGATTTCGATGATTCTTTTTTTATATGAAAGCTGATAGTTCTCGTGCGGTCCCATATGAATTTGATCAAGGTCAGAATAATGGTTATTGAGTTATTCTTAAATAACCTATATTGAAGTCGGCTGTACAAAATTTTTAATTTTTAATTATACTACATGCATATGAAAGTATATATGGTACTTAAAACAAAAATACAATTTTAAAAATTTTTATCTGTCTGTTTGTTTGTTCCGGCTAATCTCCAAAATGGCGCAAAAAATTTAAAACCCTATATTACACGCGGGCGAAGTCGCGGGGAACAGCTAGTATAGAATAAAGGCGACAGACGAGCACACAGTCCACCTGATTGTAAGTGGATGCAGTGGCCCATAGACATCTACATTTATGCTCGATTAAGAGTCAAAATTAAGATTCGTTGTCACCTTTGAGGACTAAGATGGAATGACTCGTTTCAAGTAAAAAGAGTCTCCTTTAAAATGTTTTTTACGCTGGTATTCTATGAGAGTGTGGTCTTTGCCCTGTCGAGTTTACCCATTTGAGCTACAACCATAATGTAGCTGCAGCGTGGCTCTACCACGTATAAAACCACCTAAAACAATGTTGTTGGTTACAATAAGTTGAACATGTTTTCGGCACCACGAGGTAGTGTTTTGTCCATCTCCTTATTTGATCCGATGATGTAATTAAGATGCACAACGTTAAGTATCAAACAGGCAATAAGAAAGTGAAACTAGCAGGTTTTTACTAATATTATTAAATATTTTTCAAACTTTTTTATTTATTAATAGGTCCTGAAGGAGCATCCGTGCCTTCGCTAGGCTTGTCTAACAAAGCAGTGTTCAATGGAGAACAGGGAGACAGTGGAGAGAATGATGACAACGATGGATACTTCGTTCCTATACAATTGAATGGTGAGTTACTTTTGATTAAAACTGAAAGTGATATTAATGAAGTTGTGTAGGTTGTTGAACAGTGTGCACTTTAAATATTCTAGCCAAGTTATTCGAAGAAACATACACATACAGCAAACCCTTTTTATACGTGGTAGAGGCATGCTGCAGCTATATTAGTAGTATAGTTGTAGCACGAATTGGTCGGCTCGACCGGGGAAGGACCACGCTCTCACAGAATACCAGCGTAAAAAATAGCAGCTTAACACTGCTGTGTTTCGTGTGGTGAGTGTAGAGAACCGGAGACCCTTTTTACTGGAAACGAGGCATTCCATCTTAGTCCTCACGGGTGGCAACGCATCTGCATTTGAAAAAACCTCTATCCTGGGAAGAACCAGCAAGAAACCCAGTGGATTAACAAAAAACAGCTTACAATCATGTACACAATTAACAACACAACAAATTAGAAATAGCTTGGTAGCAATCACCTAATTCCCAGGGGTTATTATCGACCATAAATTCCTTAATATTATAATAACCCATTTTATAGAAACTTACTTTAATAAAGTTTTTGAATTTTGGGCAAGTCAAATTTTGTATATTTTTTCTTTTTCTCTTCTTTGTATAATTGTTCTGTACTTAGATCTTATACAGAGTTATTTTGCATTAATCGGCCAAATTTTCAGGGAGTGTTCAGAATAAGTAATATGGGCTAATAGTGAAGCAAAATTAATTAAAAAAAGCTTATACATTCTGTCCTTTTTATCTTTTAAATTGAAAATGCGTGGTAATGCATTATTTTAACTGATTGTTATTCATAAATATCTAATGCCCTCTATTTTACTACGCACGCACATATTGGTAAGTGTCTATTGGTCGGCAAAAACGTTGTGAATATAATCGCACATTAAATTTGGGATAATTTAAAATAAAAGTAGAAGCCTTATTTACTCGTATTTTCAAAAACTACAATAACGGCATATAATTTTAAAAAAAAAAACGTTAGGACCCGCACACTAGAATTTTCTCCTCTATCGTGGAGACAGTTTACAAATATAGATTGCACGAGAAGAAACATTCAATAATTATTTATATATTTGAACTTAAGTTTAAAATTTGACTACTCTTTGAAAAATAACCCTGTAAATATAAAAACTTTCTAATTATAATATCTCCCAGAACCACCAACGGAGGAGACACTGATGCAGAACACGCTCTGGCCCGAGGTGCACAAACTGTACGGTCACGGGTACGAAGTGTTCGCCCTGGATGCAAGCCGAGACTGCACGCTTCTCGCGTCCGCCTGCCGGGCTACAGCCGCTGAACATGCGGCTGTGCTTATATGGTTAGTACAATTGAGTAATGATTTTTATATGGTAGAGCCATGATGCAGCTATTATGATTGTAGCACGAATGGTCGTGGGTTAAATAACAGCTTAACGCTGCTGTGTTTTGTATGGTGAGCGTAGAGAACCGCAGACCCTTATTACTGGAAATGAGGCATTCACCTTAGCCCTTAAGGGTGACAATTAAGAATTATTTTTACGCCTATGTTATATAGGTTATATAGGTGCCTAGGTATATCGTTTGTCACCCTTATTCATTGAAAAAAAAAAGCGTATGTTAACTTATTTTATATTCCCGACGCTTTCTTAGTTTAGTACTTTACAGTACTCATGGTAATGGGGGGACTGAGGTGTTCAACGTCCCAATGTCACAGTTAACCACGGCTACCTTCACTTTAAAATTATTAATTCTTGGTCCGATCTATGCAGAATGAGCTTATAGTATCTTGAACTTTTGCAGTAGTATGCTTGGGTTGGGGTTTAATTTTATTATTTATAGGTTCCCAAGGAGATGGTAGTACCCAGCCATCTTCCCTATTGAAATAATAATGTTTATTGTTACGTCCTAGATTCACGCTGCAGCTATATTATGGTTGTAGCACGAATGGGTCAGCTCGACCGGGGAAGGACCACGCTCTCACAGAATACCAGCGTAAAATAGCAGTTTAATGCTGCTGTGTTTCATATGGTGAGTGTAGAGAGCCGGAGACCCTTTTTACTGGAAACGAGGCACCCCATCTTAGTCCTCAGAGATAAATGTAGATGTCTATGGGCCACAGCATCCACTTACCATCAGGTGGACTGTGTGCTGTTGGTCACCCTTATTTAATAAAAAAAGGAAAAAAAGAATGTTTTTTGATTTCAATGGCCTCGCGAATCGCCTTTGGAAGCAATCTGTGTTGTGGTCTATCAAATCTGATGTAGTGTCGGATGTATTGAACGTTTAACACTTTGGACCACTAAAATACTTTTACCTATAAGTTTTGGCGGGAACTTGACCGGCGGCGGATTGCTCCTCCTGTATTATTGTGTAAATAATGGTGTGACGTCGATTTTGATACGTAAAAGTGGTGCGATTTTGTATATTTGTTATTGTTTTGTATTATTATTCAAAGCACTATTTATAATGCCCGGGCAATATAAAATGACAAGTCAATTAGGGTTATGTAATTTATACTGATGTGATGTAGTGTTCTAGCCCACACGACATAGTTATATATTAGAGTTAACTTTGTAATAAAGCGTAGTATAATTAAAATTTTGAACTGAGCAACACGTCTCCTTTTCATTTAACACCTTCCAAAATTACACTGTATTATTATTATTATTATTATTTATACTTTATTGTACACCACAAAAAAACGATAAAAAAGAACAAATTACAAGGAGTAAAACTTAAGAGGTAGGTACAATAAGGCGGTCTTATCGCTAATAAGCGATCTCTTCCAGACAACCTTAAGATTAGGAGAAAGTTGTTCTATTGGACAGTGGGAGGTGGTGTATATTATAGTAAACTTACATACTAATACCTAAATAAACTAAACTGATACATAATGAAAAAAAAATAATACACTAATATATACATTCAAAATATAATAGACATACATAAGATTAAGTAGGCAAATATACATAAAAATTAAATAAAAAAATACAGAGAGGATACAAAAAATACATGTCGCAAATGATGACCAGTAGTTAATGCACTGTATTTCATTATTTATCACATAGTCGTGTCATACCTAACCTAACCTATCTTTTTATTACTCTGTAAATAATAGACTTTATTTATAAAACCATATTAACTATCTGCGTATGTGAACTGTAAGTGGAAACGGTAAAAAAGTGCTCCGATGGTGTTATAAATGTCCTGAATTGGCGAAACTCATGATAATGTGTCTGCTTACGCCCGATTCCTATGTTCAAGAAACGTTTCGTTTTCCGTAACGATCCGTTTTATTACATAAATACACTTAATATTACAAACTATTAATTCAGCAACTTGAATGACTCGAAAGAGAAAAAAACTTTTAACGGGTCATTAAAATAGTTAAACTGTTATTTTGTTTTTAAAATGGTGGGTTTTCATGCACCTGCGAGATGGATCGTAAAAATACGAAGTGATTTTAAACATAGAAATCTGGCATTAGGCGCCTTAAGATACTAGCGGCATCGACTGTCTGTTGGCTCAAATTATATTAACAAGCTGTAACACCCTATTCCACCCCCTCAGGGGATGAATTTTTCCAAAATCTTTACTTAGTGGATGTCTTCGGCGAGAAAGGAGTAAGACCAAATTTCAATTCAATCGGTCATATAGTTTTGGAGCTCTAGTGATGAGTGAGTGAGTCAGTGGTATTTCGATTATATATATATATATAGATATTATGTACCATTAATATTTCACTTGCATGATATTTCAGGGAGACCAAGAACTGGCAGCAGATTCAGAAATTAGTATCGCACCAACTGACAGTGACACAGTTGGCCTTTTCGCCTGACAGTCAACAACTCCTGTCAGTTTCGCGCGACCGGAGGTGGTCTCTATTTCGAAGACAGCAGGGTTCAAATTCGTTCGAGCTAGCCGCGTGTACAGACAAGACTAACGGTGTTCACACCAGGATTATATGGTGTTGTGCGTGGGCGGAAGATGGAGCTGTATTTGGAACTGGCTCCAGAGACGGAAAGGTGAGTTTATTTGAAATAATATTTTTTCTGTTACCGATACAGCCTATTAAAGTCCACTGCTGAACGTAGGTCTCCCCCATAGATTGCCTCATAGAGGGGATATTTGCCATAGTTTCCACGCTTGGTAAGCAGGTTGGCAACCGCAGTTTTTTTTTATTTTTAGTCGTAATTAGGAAGACGCTGCTGCCCAACATCCTGGTTTGTTTTCCTCTGTCGCCTGTTACGAGATGTCATCCCGTGTGTTCGGTTCGGTATTGGACGTTCTTACACCGCCATTACACGGTGATTTGTTGTCATTGAACAATATGAATATAATCTTTTTATAAGTGGTAGAGCTACGCTGCAGCTATATCAGTTAGTATAGCTCTGACGGACTCTTCAGCTGGTTTAGCGGCATATATTCTAGAAAAGTTTTCTACGTGGACAAATCCTGATTACACAAAGGCAAATGATGGGAACCTTCTAGCAAAATATTCACTAACACATCTCTTAGATAACGTCATGGTATATTGGGCTTCTAACTACTCTACTACTACTACTACTCTAAAAGCCTACAGTAAAAAGGAGCTCAGTCTCAAGTTAGCCGAAATTCCAACATCAGTGCCAACGTGGGGTATTAAATTTAAACACGAGATTGCATTCCATCCGGACTGCATTCTAAAGTTGAAATATAAAAACTACCTACAAAGCACTGGTTGAGGCTGCAGCTTTTGAAAATCCTGACATATTGGCCAATGATATATTCCAAGCCGTCGATACATTCAGACAAATTCATAATCAACAAAGGAATAACCAACAAGCAACAAGTGATAACAAATTACCTGATTATGAAACGGCAAAAACAATATATGAATTCACTGTAAAAGACATACATGGGAAAGATGTAAAATTAGACAAGTATAAGGGCCATGTGACATTAATAGTAAATGTAGCGTCTGAATGCGGGCTAACGGACACGAATTACAGGCAACTAAATGAGTTGTACGAAAAGTATTCGACAACTAAGAACTTACGAATTCTTGCATTCCCTTGTAACCAATTTGGCGGGCAGGAACCTGGAGCTCCCAAAGATATTTTAACATTTACCAAGAGCAGAGGTGTAAAATTTGATTTATTTGAAAAAGTGGATGTGAATGGAGAAAGCACATCCACTATTCAAGTTCCTCAAACGTGTTCAAAGTGGAACACTGGGCAATTTTATTAAATGGAACTTTTCCAAGTTTATTGTTGATAAGAACGGGGTGCCTGTTGAGAGACTCGGAACAAATGTGTATCCATTAGATCTGGAGCCAATACTAGCTAAATAATGGTGAAAATAATTTGATTTTTAATCTTTTTTTATATTTTTATACAAATAGATTTAGGTTGTGTTACGGCCTACGGCTGCCCATGAGCAGAAGACTTCCCGAGCAGACGTAGGTCGGGCCTCAATGTGGCCACGTGGAATTTCTCTAATTACACTAAAATATATGGGGGAGCGTTCTACACTACGGCCAGTCGACCGGCAGAGGAGCGGACGGAGCTTACTTACCTGTATCCAAGGCGCCTGGTCCCTCCGGAGTCGGTCTGGTCGTATGTGTTTGTGTAGTGCAAGGGAAATAAGGTGATGTGATGTGTATCTGGGTGTGACTGATGGTGATTGAACCTAGACCTTGGCCGTCGGCAGCAGCCCGAGCGTCGACACCGCTCCAACTTGAGGGGGCCTTCCGAGGCGTTGTCCACAGTCACTTTCCTCGTTCGTCACGATTAACTAACTTACAGAAGCCACTAACTATCGCTGGGTATAAGGTTAACGCACAAAACGCACACGGAGTTTACGGATCAAAGGTCACTACCGTTTCGCGTAGCAACAGTTAGTTCTAGAATATTAACGGCCGCACCAGCTAATATTGCCGAATGCACCTATGCAGATTCTGAGTCGGACACAATGGGTCCCTGGGAAGCTCTTCAGCAGGAATGCGCGTCACAAAATCCTAGACCGTATATTTACGGGCCGCGCCTAATTATTCCGAGTTCTCTAACAAAAATTGACAGCGTGCAGACATTAGCACAGCTAGCAGACGACTCAGCCTTTTCGCTCGCAACCCGCGCGCCATTGCCACGCTCGGCCGAACTTGAACCGATATCGCGCCGAGCCGAGTGCCATCTGGCGTCGATTCTTGACAGCGTTTGGCGCGAACAAACCCCCGTCCCGGTCATAAGGATGTAGGGCCGCGAGCAAACCGGTCAGCGGGACAAGGTCGCGACGGCAAGTTGCAAGACCGAATCTACAACCAAACTAGGCCACCTTAGGCCCCCATCAGATCTTGCAACCCTAACCAACGCCTCAAAATTACAGCCCCAACGTGGGCAAGCCGGAGGGTTGAACTGGATGCCCTTCCTGGGCATCCATAAATAAGTCCTATTCCTAGACAGAAGTCCGACGACCTCCTTCAAACATCTATCTGTGCTCCTATGATTAGTTCTGCAATCCGACCGGATCAGGTCTGCAAACAGCGACGCGACACGAAGCGGCCCAGAGCGGCCTCCTAAGCTTCAATGCAGAGAGCACCCACAAATTCCACATGAACGTCGTCTGTGGAGAGCCGAACGAAACGCACAGATAGTCCTTAGTATGAATTTTCAACAAGTAGGCCTAGCCAGGCCACCCACCATTTACTAAAATAGTGCGGCAGCTGATTTCAATCTGATAATCTCCAAAACTCGCTAGCCTGTTAGACAAGCAGTCCTATGCTCATATTTCAACTAATTTTTCAAAGCATCAATGTTCAACTACAGAATCAATTCCACCAAATTAATAACCGATGCACATAGGTCAACTTGACAAATTAAACAAAACAATAACGTAAGAGACAGCCCTATTTCTCATTTACGTAACTTAGACAGTGCCAACAAAATGTAAACCAAAGGAGAATCGACTTTTATTTACCTCGGCATAAATAGGGTTATCTAATTTCAGCCTTCTTTTTTACAAGCAAAATGATTAAACACTATCACAAAACATATACATAATTTTCCAAATAGCGCGACATGCAATTTCAAATGAATTCAAATTTTCTTTTCAGCAACCAGGCGCAACAATCAATGCAGTGATTAAATATATTTACAAAACATATGCAGCAGCATTTAAAGGAGTAGATTAAGTTCAATTCTTTTAATCACAACCGCTGCAAATAGGAAAATTTCGCTGAAAGCCCAAAGCATTTTTTAATTTTAATTCAAAGAATTTTTAACTAAGTGCTCGACCAAACCAAATCTAATATCTCTTGACAGCGTGATTCAACGCTCCAGGGGGGCCCTAATCTTCCCACCACCAAGGGGAGGCCACACGGCGTGAACCCGAGACCAATAGAGCGCGAACCGCCAACAGTCACCACTCGAGTTGTACGCCTTCACTGAGGCCGTCGGCAACAGAACATTTTGACAAGTGGACTGTTGACGGCTTAAGGCTCAGTGGAGGCGGCCGTGGTGGGAGCTAAGGCGGCAGCTAGCCAGGGCCGCCTCCATCAAATGGGGAACAGTGAGAAGGGTCTAGCGAACTGATGAGTGGCCTTGAAGTTTCTCTCCACACGCTGAGGGGGGGGGGGGTGATGACACCCCCGCCCCAGGGGGAATTACCCCCCGACTGGTCGGGGGAGGGACCCCTTCCAAACCTAGGGGCCCGGTGGCTGGCAGGCGGATGCCGAGAGTCAGAGAGCAGAGGGCGTGGCTGAGCGCCCCCGCCCGTGGGGGTCGAGGGCCTGGCAGAGCCCCGAGAGGAGACGCCATTCGCACCCAGGCACAAAACTGCATGGTGATTGCCCTGGCAATCTGTCGGTCTGGTCGTATGTGTTTGTGTAGTGCAAGGGAAATAAGGTGATGTGATGTGTATCTGGGTGTGACTGATGGTGATTGAACCTAGACCTTGGCCGTCGGTAGCAGCCCGAGCGTCGACACCGCTCCAACTTGAGGGGGCCTTCCGAGGCGTTGTCCACAGTCACTTTTCTCGTTCGTCACGATTAACTAACTTACAGAAGCCACTAACTATCGCTGGGTATAAGCACAAAACGCACACGGAGTTTACGGATCAAAGGTCACTACCGTTTCGCGTAGCAACAGTTAGTTCTAGAATATTAACGGCCGCACTAGCTAATATTGCCGAATGCACCTATGCAAATTCTGAGTCGGACACAATGAGTCCCTGGGAAGCTCTCCAGCAGGAATGCGCGTCACAAAATCCTAGACCGTATATTTACGGGCCGCGCTTAATTATTCTGAGATCCGTAACAAAAATTGACAGCGTGCAGACATTAGCACAGCTAGCAGACGACTCAGCCTTTTCGCTCGCGACCTGCGCGCCATTGCCACGCTCGGCCGAACTTCAACCGGTATCGCGCCGAGCCGAGTGCCATCTGGCGTCGATTCTTGACAGCGTTTGGCGCGAACAGGTTGTAAAGCAATAAGTGATTAAAATAGTAAATCCACACACAAACAATAAACAATCTAAGTCTAATACAAACTCCCATTAAATTATAGTAAGCGTTCTGTGATATTATAAAACTAAAAGGAAGTACAAATTTGTATAATGAAACGTGTTAATATTGTCAACAAAACAGTTATGTACATTGCTATTATAAATGTAAAATATAATAATTTTTGTAAGACATGAAAAAACATCAAACTTCATTGTGAAAGAAAAACAATTAATTTAATAATTTAAAATTAAAAATTTTGTACAGCCGACTTCAAAATAAGTTATTAAGAATAACTCAAATAACTCAAAAACTATTGGTCTGATCTTGATCAAATTCATATGGGGCCACACGAGAAGTATCAGCTTTCATATAAAAAAAAAAGAATCATCGAAATCGGTCCACCCAGTAAAAAGTTATAAGGTAACACACATTAAAAAAAAATATACGCGTCGAATTGAGTACCGTCTCCTTTTTGGAAGTCGGCAGAAAATTAAAATCGATTTTGATAAGCTAAAATGGTACGTTTGTGTGTATTAAATATTATATATTGTATCATTTTACAAGTGCTTCGATAAATCTCAATTTTTTATCCACTTAAGCGGCCGAAGATACAACCGTCATCAACTGTCCGTCATCAATTGAAAAGAATTTTATGAATATAATATATTTGCATATTTCATAGCGGGCAAAATTATTTTTTTTAGAAAAGTGTAAAGATTAATGTTTCTTTCCGAAATATTATATTATATTAATTAGATTAAAAATGGATAAACTTTGCGGATATTCCTAAAAGTACAAGAATTAAAAAAATTTAATAATACAACATTGAGGCATTGTTTGTATAATATGTAATGTTATTGTTAATGAACACACTTACAAATTTGCAGAGGAGGTTCAGAATAGATAATATAAGCTTAATGGTGTATAAAAAACTAACTTTTTGTCCTTTTTATCTTTTATATTCTAAATGTGTGGAAATGCATTGTTTTAACTGATTGTCATTCATAAATATGTAGCCTTATACTATTTTACTACGCACGTACACATTCGTAAGGGAATGTCGAATTCGGTAGCAGTCGGTGGCTTCGGCGCTCGCGCTCGGTTACAGATTTAAGTATCTAATAGTTGTTTTGACTCGGTAAAGATAAGCGCGTTTGCCCGCCATTTCATTTCCGTAAGCAGTTACACCACTATAATAGGTACGTTCGCCCGGCCGACAGTGTTGACTTGACCGTGACCTCATTATGTAAGGGTGCGTTATTTTTAAATTTTCGTAGGTGGTATTACTTGTCACTTCGTTAACATGTGCAAGCACTGAATAATAACAATGGTTCACCTCGAGAACATTTTTGTGACTGTTTGTTGACAAACATTGATAATACTAACATTATGTGGACTGACGAAGCCTTATTTACGCGTGTACGACTTTATAATAGTCGTAATAAACATACTGGGCAGTGTGCAACCCACACGAAGACAGTTATCATCAAGTGCGATTTAGTGTAAATGTTTGGGCCGGAATTATTATTATTATTAACTAAAAATATGATGGTTGTAGCACGAATGGGTCGGCTCGACCGAAGCGGAAGGGACATGTATATGTCCACCAGCCTGAATTAATGCCAATTGCTGCTGTGTTCCGTACGGTGGGTGTAGAGAACCGGAACACGTTTTACTGGTAATGAGCCATCTCATCTTAGTCCTCAGGGTGACACCCCTGTGTGAAAATCAAAATGCTGATGCATTTTGATTTTCAATCGAAGATAAATGTAGATGTCTATGGGCCACAGCATCCATTTGCCTTGCTCGTTTGTCACACCCATTCTATAAAAAAAAAGATGGTGTGTGGCGACTGCAGCCCATGGACACCTGCAGCCAACTACAAACTAAGAAGTCTGCAGATGCGTTGTCACCTCTGAGGACTAAGATAGAATGCCTTACAGTCTTTAATTAATTGACCCTCAATACCTTTCAGACCGAAACACGAAACATGCTTGTGGTGGTTCGTATCCAGACGGAGCCGTAGGCAGAAAAGTTGTGCTATCACGCGACATTGCACCTAAACGCGATAGCTGATTGTGAGGTCGCGGATTTGAATCCCGGGTCAAAATCAGTTATTGAGTTTTTCCGTAGAGAAATAGGCCCGGAGATAGGAAATTCGCGGTGTATCAACCCGTGCCTCGGAAAGCACGTACAGCCGTTTATCCTGCGCCTGATCTCTCTCCGGTCCGGTATCATCATCTCATACAAACCGCACTTGTGCTTGCACGTACACTCGGGCACTATAATCTTGCACTGCGCAGATGGCTAGTCTCCGTTGAGACTGGCTCTCCTTGACCGAAATTCGGTCCGGAGGACGTTAATTAAATTATTGTTTTTTTTTTAGGTTTGCATATGGTCTAAAACAGAACAGTCAAGTGGAACGTCACTCCAGCAGCATGGTCTCTTGGGAAAGCCATTGGAACTTGCCAACACATCGGTGACGGCAATTGCTTTCGTGCCCTTCCTTGTAGACACTACACGTGTTCTCGCTACTGGCTTTGAGTCCGGAGTTATCAGGATATACAGCTTCAGTATTGAAGGATGGGGCTTGTTGCGTGAATTGGATAACAGGTATGTAATATGTTTTTATGTAAATGACTTGTATATAAGTACATTACTAGTCGAAGGATACAGGTGGCTCAGGACTGTGTTAGCATTCTTTGGCGAGACATATGACCGGATGAAAGGTCAGCAGAAGGTCCAACAGGAAAGGGGTATGATCTGCAACATCTGGAATCGACGTAGGCGAAGTAACCAGTTTGTCAGACCATATGCTAAGGCAAAGTCATAAATAGATCTCCCCGCATGATCGATTAAACGTGAACCGAGCCATTCGGCGTGGTGGGCGTTAAAATCGCCAAGTAACACGATCTCTACGGATGGGATCTGTTGTAGCAAGAAATCTGTAGCCATTTGGACGTGGTCGATGAGTCGGTCTGTGTCGGCATTACCGCTATGGGACTTATACAGGCACCCGTAGACGCGGGGATGGTCGTCGCTGTCTACGCGCAGCTAAAGGATGGACAGGTTCGTACCTTCAAGACTGCCGAGGCTTCGTGAACAAATATCCTCTCTGACGTATAAGCAAACTCTAGCCCGGAGCACAGAGGATTGTTCTAATTTGTACCCCGGGTAGGACAGGTACGAAGTATCAGCCGGAGAGGACACCTGCGTCTCGGTCAAAAAGAGCAAGTCCAGCTTCGCCGTCTCTAGATGATAGTGGACGGCGTTAAGGTTAGAGTGAAGTCCCCTGATGTTGCAGAACTCCACGGATAGCGTGGCAGGGGTTGCCATGGTTTTATCGCTCTGTTTGCCCCGTGCAGTGTTAGTATAGAGCGGGATTTTGCCGCACCCCATCCCCCCAGAATACGCGGGGAAGCCTGAGCACTCACGCTCAGGAAGTAGAGGGTAGCTTGACCGTGGATGCTCAGTGAGGGATTCTCCATTAGCTGGGAATCCTCCTGGAATAGTCCTTTTTTTGAATTCCGCTACCATGTTATGGGAGGGGGGGGGGGGGCTCCGACCACCTGCACAAACCAAGCTAAACGCAGAAGCAAAGCTTGTACTTCCTTAGCCCCGGTTCGAGCCAGCCCATCCGTGCTACAGCAGAAGCTGTAGCGTGGCTCTATCACTGTTAAAACTCTAACACTCTACCACTGTTAACTTAAAAATATCATCATTCATTATAGCCCTTCACAAGTCCACTGCTGAACATAGGCCTCCCCCAAGGAATGCCACAAAGCACGGTCCTGAGCCACCTGCATCCATCGACTTCCTGCATGTCTTACCAGGTCGTCACTCCATCTCGTGGGGGGTCGCCCTACACTTCGCCTACCGGTACGAGGCTGCCACTCAAGAACCTTTCTTCCCCATCGGTTGTCGGTTCTTCGAGCTCTTTGGCCGGCCCACTGCCACTTCAGCTTACTAATCCGTTGGGCTATGTCGGTCACTCTGGTTCTACTGCGGATATCCTCATTTCTGAGTTTATCACGCAAAGAAACTCCGAGCATAGCCCCCTCCATAGCTCGCTGAGCGACCTTGAGCTTCTACATCCGGCCAACAGTGAAGGACCACGTCTCAGTTCCGTATGTCATCACTGGCAACACGCATTGGTTGTAGAGTCTCGTTTTCAAGTTTTGAGGTATACCTGACGAGAAGATGTGCCGTAATTTCCCGAACGCTGCCCAACCGAGTTGAATCCGTCGATTGACCTCTCGGTCGAAGTTGGACTTACCTAGTCGGACTATTTGTCCCAGGTAAACATACTCGTCAACAACTTCGTGCTTAGTGCTCCCAACAACTACCGGCATAGGTGTGACATGGACATTAAACATGATCTTTGTTTTGTCCATGTTCATCTTAAGACCTATCCGTTGGGAAACACTATTGAGGTCATTGAGCATAGTGCTTAGGTTCTCCAGCGATTCTGCCATAAGGACTATATCGTCGGCAAATCGAAGGTGAGTGAGGTACTCGCCATTGATGTTGATACCGTATCCTTTCCAGTCCAGAAGCTTGAAAACGTCTTCCAATGCAGCGGTGAAGAGTTTCGGGGATATGACGTCACCCTGTCTTACACCTCTCTGCAATTGTATAGGTTTCGTACTCTGGTTCTGTACTCGGATAGCCATCGTACTATACAAGCACTTCATCACTTCGATATACCGACAGTCAACTTGGCACCACTGAAAGGCTTTCAGCACTTAAAAATATACCATCTAAAATACCAAAGAGATACCATTAACATCATTTTAATGTAATATTTGTTCAATCACTTTTTTTTTTCAGTGCGGCACATCATTTATCTGTCAAACGGCTGACATTTAATCCAAGGTTATCTTGCAACGGATCGAACAAGAGGGTGCTACTGGCGAGCAGTGGAAGTGATAATCTTATGAGAATACACGGCGTTGTTTTATCGATATAGCAATAAATATTATATAATAAATGAAGTTTTATTGCAATATATTTCATTTCTTAAAATTAAACAAATACTTTTTACTTTTATGTTAAAATCTTGTTTAAAATTATATCTTGTTTATAAAGACTGTAGTCTCTTCAAAGGTGCTGTACGTAAAATAAGTATCTTCAACTTAGAGCTAATATAATGTCCTCCAGACCGATTTCGGTCAAGGCGCTCTCCCCCAATAGAGACTAGCCATCTGCCCAGGACAAGATTATAGTGCACAAGTGTGTGTGCAAACATAGCTGGACACACTATTCCATCATCACCATCATCCGGTCTTCTGACTGTCCATTTTCTAGCGAGACAGTGCGAATAACGGATCCCGGGGTTAACCCCATTGCCCAGGCTTCCTCTCAGATGAGGTACCGATCACCTGGTTAACCACCGCTTACGCAACGGTCTAATTGGCATGTATACGTTGTATATTCCACTGCATCATTGGGTTATTATTTTGCGTAGTTAGAATAAAGAATAGAATATTTTTATTCAATATTCTGAGAAGAATCAGCAAGAAACAGCGGTTTTTTTTTCATAATAAAATTATGCAATAATAACACTAAAACAGTGGTAACATTCCACGCGGGAGCTGTTGTCCGTCTAGAGAGTCGGTGTGGAAGGGGAAAACCCTTGTTCTCCGTTGTTAGTACCATCGAACAAACGGCGCGAAAAACGGGCGACTAATTCTATGGGTTCGATCTTTAAATCCCGGGCGACCACATAGTAACGGAGGTAACGACCTATCCCACGATTGTGCTTAGTGCCAGATTATAGGGCTTGCTGATGCCTCCGCTGCCTTGAGTTGGTCAAAGCATACCAGGAAGGTGCTGCGTATGAAAGTCTCGATCTTATGTAGAATTTAAAGACCATCAGGTTTGTCCTGATTGGTAAGCGGGATGACAGTACTGGTCACTACCACTGTCCAAATGTGGAGTGCTACGCAACGAGTGGCAGATCTAACATCTCAGGTACGCCATCGTGGTCTTCCATTCGATGGGCTGCCTCCAAAGTGTAAGGATGGCAGATGGTAGTAGATTCTGGAGGCAGTTGGTAAGCGGCCGTCTTTCCGATATTGACAGCTATACTCCACTAATCCAGCAGTGATCATTGGCTTGAAGAGTTTCTTGGTGGTTCTTCACAGTACAGAGATTTTCTGAACCAGTGGTAAAATCATAAATGACTTTCAATAAGTATTGTTGTAATCTATATAGAATAAAATTATTACATTCTATTCTATACTGTATAATGTTTTGCGTTTGTGTGTAAAATATATCAGACTAAGGAACTAGCGATACGGCCCGGCTTCGCACGGGTGATTCCTGTATCACGACAACAGCGCCAACTACTGTATCCAATGACTTTAGCATCCACGACTTTTTCTGCCACCAGGGCGGCGCCACTTAAAAGTGAGGTATTATATCATTGTGGGGAAGTTAATTTGTTCGGTAAACGTAAAGGTTAATGTTTCTTTCTGTACTATTTTTTATATATTTTGTATTAATAACATTAAAAATAAATAAACAAAACCACAGATATTCATAATAGAAGAAAATTTAAAAAAAAAGTTAAAAATGTGCAAAAAATTAAAGAGCAAACCACTGAGGCATTGTTTTCTATATTAATATAATACTCTAGAACAGTGGTGTGCAAACTTTCTTACTGGAGGGCCAGAAAATTTAAAAAATTTCATAAGAGGGCCAGAATTATAGGAAAAATACATTTTATGTTGAAACTTTTAGTCGTATAAAAACATTACAGCATTACACGCTTGCACAAATGTTAAAAAGTTACAATTTAACTTTTATTTGAAGGCCCAGCCATGGTAGGCGTGTGAGACATTTGAAATTGCTTTTATTTATTTATTAGGATTACCAACAGAAATTACAACAGTAATACAAAGATCATTTTCATAACAAGTTCAACAATTTATAATTGTATTTCTTTTATGGGTAATCACAACATGCATTGATTATTTTGTAAGGAATAAAAACTGAATTATATCATTGAATAAATACAAATTAATGAAAAGAAATATAATTATTTGACAATATTATAAATATCTTCATTGTCATAGTATATTATATTAATCAAACTATAAAAATCAAAAACAATTCCAATGTTATAATTAATAATTAATTAATTCGTTAATTCATAGAAATTAAGGTACGTTGGGGTAAGATCGGTGATGGGGCAAGACCGTAGGATTCAAATTCCCGGCGAATTATGCTATATTTTGAAAAGCTAACAATATGCTACACGACGCCATTTCATCCTGCCCCGACCCTCAGTTCGCGCCAGTCACTCCGGCAAGTGGGACCTGTGCTGCGTGGCATTTTATAAAACAATGTAATTTTTGTATTATTTTTGTCCATCCGATCTTTCCCTATCACTTTTATTTACGATTTTTAGCGAGAATATGGCTTCTTTTGTTATTATTTTGTGTGGATACTAATTTTTATGAAGTTATAGCTAGATAAAGCTGGTCCATGCAGGGGTAAGATCGCTGTAGGCCGAGATCCGATGTTTCCCCTCGTGAGTGAAGATCGGATGAATATTATCCGATCTTTGCCTGTTACAAATATGGCAGTGGTTGTTAAACTTTCATTGGTCGTGTATATTTTTTCGTTGATTACTCAAGTGACTATGGGACTCAGTCTCGTTAGCAAGTCTGTATATTTAAAAGTAATAAAACAATACGATGGTTTCACTACTTTTAAGTACACATTAAAATACATTTTTTTTATAGAATAAGGGTGACAAAGGAGCACACAGTCCACCTGATGTTAAGTGATTGCTGCGGCCCATAGACATCTATATCTATCCTCTATTACAAATCAAAATGTAATTTATAATAATTATTTAAAAAATAATTTATAATAATAAATGCCGCTTTGTTAAAATATTTATATCTTCCTTAACTCCTGCATTATCCCAGGGCATTTCGCCAGTCCTTACTGTTATTTTTTTTTCCCATATAAAATCAAATGCATTCGATCTTTCTCTTATATTGAGTAATTCCATCTTATGTCATAACCAAGATTGAGAAACATAAAATTACAATTTCTTTATACCAGGGATAAGATCGGATGGCAAGAAACAAAAAAAGAGAAAATCGTTTGGAACATTTATGTTTCTAGTAATTTATAGATCATATTGAAATATGTTTTTGAGCATTAAAGATAGGACATATCTCTTTAATAAACTTTTTTCTCTAAGCAGTAGAAGTGGTTTTAAATTTAAGTCCGGTCTTACCCCTTAATGGCCAATTTTTCATTATGCATATAAAAAAGTATGTCTAGTTTTCGCACACCCTTAAAGCAGAAACCGTTGAGTTTACACAAGCAAAAGATTCTCAGAGCTAAACTACGTTTAACGATTAACGGTTTGCTCCATGTTCCATAAATCTGACGTATACGAATGTCGAGAAATTAAAGTTTTTGGCAGACTCTTCCAACTATTCGAAAATCCGTCCGGTATTACCCCAACGTACCTTAATTAATTTTGATTTGAAGGTGGATAAACTATCGCAATTAATATCGAGGCCAGAAATCTTCGAGGACAGTTCGTTATAAGTGCGAGCCAGTCTGGCTAGAGGGGAATACTTTCCTAAGTTAGACCTATAAGGCCGGCCTCATACATACGGAATTCCGTTTCGGGATTTTTTCTCTCGTGTTTTGTACTGAACTGCGTTCCTATGCGTAATAATTCTATGCGAAAAAGTCTATTCGCACACATACGACGACGCAAACATCGCCATAGTTTTCTGGGCGTGAGAAATCATCTTTGGTAATTCAGCTTTAGGCAGTGTTCTATAAAAATCTAGCTTTGTACCCAGTGCCCCGCGACCCGCTACACATGAACTACGCGGCTAGTCTAGCTGGTTCCTTTACCTATGCGTCTATTATTCCTCCAAAGTAGAATCTACTTTATATATATGGACTTTCAAAATATAATTATCACGGGACATATACTTTACATGTCGAAGAACCGTCAGCGGGCCGGATTAAATGCTTTCGCGGGCCGGAGGTGGCCCGCGGGCCGTACTTTGCCCATCACAGCTCTAGAAACTGATAAACTTTTATTAAAAAACTAACTTCCCAGTTAAATGACATTGTATGACAAAAAACTTTATCTCTGTGTCAACTAGCGACATCTGGTGAGGGGAAATTTATTAGCCCTCATTGTGAATCTAAACACACACAATTTTTTTTATTAAAATCAGTTCAGCCGTTTACGATGATCCTGTAATTTTGTTTAATTTTTTAAAATAAAAAATATTGATGTGATAAGCAGATGCGTTGTTACTTCTGAGAAATAAGATAGAATGCATTACAGCCTGTAATTATGCTCTTTAAACCCTTCACACCAGTACTTTATCTAAGTGAAATTATCTACTTAGGGAAACAGTCGTTTGAAGTGGATTTTGAATTGATTATTGCAAATTTATGTATTAAATGTATGCGTATGTGAACGTTTGGTGGAAATGATGAAACAAGTACTCCGATGGTAATGTGAACCTCAAGTTATTATGGCTGCTGATTTGCCTCGATATACTATTGCCAATGACTGCCTGCTAGCTTAAGCAATCATCAAAGTCTCCCAAAAACGTTGCAATGTGATGTATATCAACATCTTGTGAAGAAATTTTAAACAAATTATTTTAAAGGATAATTTCGTAATACTAGACATTTGCTAAAATACCACCGTACGAGTCCATTACCAAGGAAAATGGTCTGTGTAAACTTTATCTGTCAGTGTCAATGTCAGCTGATTAAAAAACTATAATAATTTGGCGGGCTTTATTTTATTATTTTGTTTTGTTTTTATGTCCGTACTTTTTATAAAATATAACATGAACCTCACTTAAAACACTAAATCTGAAAAAATATTCGATTAAAGTAATTTGGTATTTATGAAAATCAAAGTAAAAAAAAAAAAAAAGTATTACTTATTGCAATTGAACATACCAAAAATAAAGATGCCCGAGGTAATGATATGTGGTATACCTGTTAGTTTTCCCTTTGAACCCTATGACGTGCAAAAAGCATACATGGAAAAAGTAATTGAATGCTTGCAAAATAATACCAATGCTTTACTTGAGTCACCGACTGGAACTGGAAAGACTCTAAGCTTACTCTGCTCTTCACTGGCATGGTTGCTAGTAAAGAAAGCGCAGTTGCAAATGAACGCACAAGTTGGAAATTTTTCGGAGCATAGTGGCGCCGGTTTTAGTAATACCTTGAGAGAAAATTTAAAAACTGGTACTGGCAAAGCAAAAGACAACACATCTTGGGGTATGCCAAAAATTATTTATTCATCACGAACACATTCACAACTTACACAAGCAATGCAGGAGTTAAAACGATCCAGTTACCGGCATGTGAAAGCAGCTGTATTAGGTTCAAGAGATCAAATGTGCATTCACCCCGAAGTTTCTAAAGAGACCAATAATATGAATAAAGTGCACATGTGTCAACTTAGAGTCAAATCAAGAACTTGTTTCTTTTATAACAATGTTGAGTCTAAGAAAGAAGATAGGTCTGTAAAGGGTGAAGAAATTTTGGACATTGAAGATTTGGTTAGCGTTGGTAAAAAATTAAAATGTTGTCCTTACTATTTGTCGAAAGAACTGAAGCAAGATGCAGACATTATTTTTATGCCATATAACTACATACTGGACCCAAAGTCAAGAAAAGCTAATGGAGTGGAGTTAATGAACAACATTGTTATTTTAGATGAAGCACACAATGTGGAAAAGATGTGTGAAGAATCAGCTTCATTGCAAATTCGAACTACAGATGTTGCTTTGTGTATAGATGAAATAACACATGTCATGAAATCATTTAGCGAAAACAGTGAAGAAATGGATGTAACTATTGATAACAATCAGCCTAAAGACTTCACATGTGATGATTTATGTGTATTGAAAGAAATGATGTTGGCTCTAGAGAAAGCTATAGATGAAATCCATGTAGGCAGTGATGGGATGACTTATCCTGGTGGTTTCATATTTGAACTACTTTCAAAAGCTGAGATTAAAGATCACAATCAAATGGCTGTCATCACTATGATAGAGAATCTTATTCAATATCTGTCTACAGCCAGTGCCTCTCCTTTCCAACGTAAAGGGGTGGGGTTGCAGAAAATTGTGGATTTGTTAAATGTTGTGTTCAGTGGCACCACACATGCTTATAAAGAGCGTGTAAAATTATGTTACAAGGTGCACATTCATATAGAAGATAAAAAGAATAAGAAATCTGATAGTTGGGGTGCTTTAAAAGCGACCAGTGCCAAGACCAGTGAAAGGGTTCTCAGTTACTGGTGCTTTAGTCCTGGTTTTGGTATGAAGCAGTTATTGGAGCAAAATGTCAGAAGCATAATATTAACCAGTGGGACACTTGCTCCTTTAAAACCCCTTATGTCTGAATTAGGTATACCAATCGGAGTCCAGTTAGAGAATCCCCATATTGTAAAATCTAATCAAATATGTGTTAAAATAATAAGTCAGGGTCCTGATTCTACACCTTTAAACTCAAGCTATCAAAATAGAGACAATCCTAAGTACATTACATCTTTGGGCAGAACAATTTTGAGCTTTAGCAGGGTAGTTCCTGATGGGCTTTTGGTTTTCTTTCCCTCATATCCAATTATGTCAAAATGTCAAGAGATGTGGCAAAATGAGGGTATTTGGTCAAGTATCAACAACATAAAACCAATATTTGTTGAACCTCAACGTAAAGATACTTTTAATGCAATTATAAATGATTACTACAGTAAAATAAGTGATCCCAACACAAAAGGTGCTTGTTTCATGGCAGTATGCAGGGGGAAAGTATCAGAAGGTTTAGACTTTGCAGATATGAATGGAAGAGCTGTTATTATTACTGGACTACCCTTTCCACCATTAAAAGATCCACGGATTATTCTAAAAAAGAAATATTTAGAGGAACTGAGAGTCAAGGATAAAGAGTACTTATCTGGTGATGAATGGTATGCTTTAGAAGCAACAAGGGCAGTCAATCAAGCAATTGGGAGAGTAATACGTCATCAAAATGACTATGGCGCCATTTTACTATGTGACAGTAGATTTAATAGCCCTAAGTTAAAAAATCAACTGTCTGCCTGGCTCAGAGATTACATAAACTTATCAAATAAATTTGGTGAAACTGTAAGTGAAATCTGTAGATTCTTTAAAACTGCCGAATCTTCTTTACCTGCTCCAAGATTAAAGCCACTTTATCCACATGAATCTAATATAAATTATAAGGATAACAACATAACAATGACCAAAGGTGTTTCATTTCCATCCGCAAACACAAGAACTATAAATAAAAACCCAAATAAAAAGTCAGTGAACGAATATCCAAACTCTAATGAAGTGTATGCTGATTTTTCTATGGATTTTTACAAAAATGCTCAAGCATCATCGTACCTGAATGAATTTAGGCCCAAAGAAACTAGAGACCTTTTCAATGCTCTAGATAGTAGTAGTGATTGTATACAAAAAACATCACAGTCTCTGGTATCAATACATAAAAGAAATGCTGATGAAATCAATGTTAGTACTGTTACTAGAAAAAAGAAGTTAAAAATAAAAGCATTTGGTTTTGATGAAAACCTCCATAAGAGCAAGGATATAACAAGCACCGGCAGCATAGAGAAAGTGGCTCCTGAATCTCTAATCGATTTTGTCAAGGAGATAAAAATCCTTTTAGATACAGATCAATATAAAACCTTTCAATCATCTATATCTGCATACAAAAAGGAAGGAGACTATGGAAAATTATTGAAAACATTGTCTGATTTACTTGAAAACAAAAAGTTATTTTATCTGTTCAAAGGTATGAAACGATTTCTTAGAGAGGAACATAAGAATATATTTCAGGAATACTGTGATAATATCCAGTTAAATGGTTAATTTCAAAATATTTAAGTATTTAAATGAAAGTTTTAATTAGAAAAATTATTTTAGAAATATGTGTAATTTATAATAACATAAATATTCTTTTAAATTATTTAACACAATATTTCATTATTAACATTTTAAAATATTTTTCAGACATGAAAACCTTTAGGATAAAAGTTTTTAGTAAAATGGTCTTTGCAGATAAAGAATAGATTTTATTAAATTAAGGTATACCTATTTATTAATTTTAACTTAGACAGTGCAAATAAATAACAGAAATACAAATATTTTGTTTTATTATCTACAATGAAACATATTTTAACATATATATAACTAGAATACATTCCTCAAGTCTTCATTAATCTTATTTGCAATTTCAACAGAGTTTATTCTTAACATTGTTTGTTGAGCTCTTTGGAAGTTTATGCGCATGAATTGCTTCCTCCTTTTCTTCTTGAAATGTGTGCGTGTGTGAGATAAGCCCTTAGAAATTACTGTTGCTGTAACTGTCACTAAGCCAGGTTGGACCAGTGGCCGTCCGATGAGTGAAAAGTCTTTGGTGGCTGCTAGTAACACTTTGTCTAGTTTTATTTTATCTCCGATATTTGGTGGCCAGTAACCCTCAACTACAAGCAGATCTCCGTCGGTAACACGCCATTGTTTGCCCAAAAGATGTATGATTGCGAAGTTACGAGACGGTTTCTCTTGTATTAACTTATTACAAGTTGCAATAACTTCTTTTTGTGTTTCAACAACAGATTGTTGCTGAGATGGAGCAATGTTTGTGACGAATCTTGATAAAACACCTCCTGAAAGAGAAGAAATATTCATTATAATATGTTCGACTGAAACAAAAATAAATATTTAAAAACAAGATTGAGTTTACCATGTCCGCTACTGAAAATGTTAGCAAGCCTCTGTAAACCTGCTCTTATCATAGACATTTTGATGAAAAATGTAATAAATATTTACTGTGATATTTTTCTTTAAAACATTTCACATCTGTTTAGATAATCAAGAATTAGGAAATATAACCTCAAAACTGCATCCCTTTATTGTATTGAATAATTATTGACAGATGACAGTTATCCTGAATTGGACGTCGGTCATAATCATAGATAAATATATATGTAGGTCATAATAATATATCTATGGACACCGTGTCCATGGATATGATCTTTTTTAATTATTATTTTAAAGCAAAGGGATATATACCCATACACCCTTTTGGTCACTCACCACTTATTTCTTCACAATACCTATTATTTTATAGAATAAGGGTGACAAATGAGCACACAGTCCGTCTGATGGCAAGTGGATGCTGTAGCCCATAGATTATTTAGTAGTGTAACCCATAAATTAAGAATCAAAATGCAGATGCGTTGTCACCCCCCAGTACTAAGATGGAGTGCCTCGTTTCCAGTAAAAAGGCTCTTTGGTTCTTTACACTCACCATACGAAACACAGCAGCATTAAGCTGTTATTTTACGCTGGTATTCTGTGAGAACGTGGTCCCACCCCGGATGGGCCGACCCATTCGTGCTACAATCATAATATAGCTGCACTAATATACCACGTAAAAACATCATTTTGACAAATTTGGCGACAGCTTAATTGAGAATAGCATAAAGAAAATTATTCTGGTAAATATAATACTATTTTACAGGACTATACCCTTTTTTGATCGCATATAATTATTTATTTTTTAAAACCAAGCCAAAATGAAGGAAATAGCGAAAATAATAGACATATAAAAAATCTTCGTGTTTATTATTGAAAAAATCTCTCCTAGACAAAAGCCACTTTGATTTTTGAAAGGCTCTAAATACGCTTGTCTTGTAGTAACGGCGTAAACAATCCACCACAACATAAGATTATCCCGTGGGTGTCAGAGAGGGAAATGAAAAAGGAGATTGCCCATTTTTTTTATTTCATTTTCCTCTGTCGCCTGTTCTGCATCAGTTAAGTAATTACATTTAATTATAATATATATGTGCTATTTTCTTCGATAACTTGTTGCCAATCTCGTAAGTAGTGACATAATCCCGTTGTTGTAGAAATCTCGGGATTTTTGATCAAAAAATGCTACAAGTAGTTTTGACAGTCCTCTCTTGATGTTAAACTAATACTAACTAAAGAATTCTGTAGGTAGAGACCGAAACAGGTACAAGGTCAGGACTATATGGTAGATGCATTAACATTTCCCAAACAAGCTTTCTCAATTTTTGCTGAAAGGCCAAAGATGTATGTGATCTGGCTTTATCATGATGAAAGACCATTCCTTTTCTGTTTATCAATTCGGGCCGTTTTTTCTCAATTAATTTCTTGCTAGAATCTCATTAGTTGTTTGCAGTAGAGATCCGAATCGATGGTTTTGCCCGGCAGTAAAAGCTAAAAATAAACGATGGCCTTTCAATCCTACCATACACACGAGGTACTCAATTCCACTGTATCTTTTTTTTATGTGTGTTACCTCATAACTTTTTTTTTGGGTGAACCGATTCCAATGACTCTTTTTTTATTTGAAAGCTGGTGCTTCACATGTAGTCCCATATAAAGGCCTATCTAGGTTGATCTAGGTGTGACCACATAGCATCATCTTATTGCGTATTAATCCGGGTTTCATTACAGTCTCAGTAGCTTGACTACCCTTTGATCATGATCTTTTTCGCCGGTGTCGTAGGTGAGTCACTTGTCATGTCACCAGTGATCAATCTTTTCAACTAAATGGTTTGGTTTTATTACGATTTAATAGACAATTGCAAATAAGTACACGATTCATTAGGTTTCTTTCAGTGATCTCGTGTGGTAACCAAATATCGTACTTTTTGTATAGCCAGACTTTCGAATGGGTCAAAACTGTTTTATAGTTAATTCTCAATTCCTCCGCTATGTCGTAACTACTAATATGCCGATCTTGCTCCACTTTTTCAAAAAATGGCATCGACTTTATCTGTATGAGGGCGACCAGAGGGAGCTGCATCTTTGACATCCAAATTCCCGGACTGAAAACGAAAACTTTGGGTTACTCTTACTGACAATGCATTAGGTCCATAAACGTCACAAATTTTTTTCGTGGCTTGAGTCGCATTTTTCTCTTTTTTGTAATAAAACTTCTGAATGTATCGATGTTTTTCGTTAGATTCACTCATTTTGGCGGACATAAAAACAATTAGTGTTTTTTTACTTTTTATTTTTCTTAATGTCATATGTGTATTGATATTATAATTTAAAATAAAAATTTTGTACAACCGACTTCAATATAAGTTATTAAGAATAACTCAAAGACTATTGGTCAGACCTTAATAAAATTTATACGGGACCACATGTAAGCCACCAGCTTTCAAATAAAAAAAGAATCATCGAAATCAGTTTACCCAGTAAAAAGTTATGAGGTAAAACACATAAAAAACATACAATCAAATTGAGTACCGCCTCCTTTTTGAAGTCGGTAGAAAAGCAGCCAGATACAAACAGTACAACCAAAGAGATTTTTCTTCAATTTTATATAAACAAAATACGAAGAAACTTTTCCCACAACCTATTATAATCAACACGTTTCACTTCTGTACTTAACTATTAAAAGTGTGTACTTTTCTAGTAATTACCTTTTGGGGTCACCCGTAATTTTAATGTAAAATTTATTTGTTAAATACTTTATTTTTTTGAAAATTACTCAGCTCGTTCAACTTTTACTGGAAACCGAGGCATTCCATCTTAGTCCTCACGGGTGACAACGCATCTGCATTTTGATTCGTAATCGAGGATAAATGTGGATGTCTATGGGCCACAGCAATCACTCACTTGTAGAGGATAATCATGATATAGTATTATTTGCTGATGATACTTCGTTGATTTTTAAACTTAAACGTCAAATATTTAAATGTGACGAAGTGAATAACGCTATATCAAAATTAGTGCATTGGTTTAACGTTAATAATCTACATTTGAACGGAAATAAAACTAAATATATTAAATTTACAACAACGAATGTTAAAAATCTGAGTACCAATGTCTTTTAAATGGGGAAGAACTGAGCCCTGTCGCATCCACTGTTTTTCTTGGCATCACTCTAGACGCAAAGCTTCAGCCGGGCCCCCATATATCCAAACTAGCAAGCAGACTACGTTCTGCAACCTATGCTGGTAAAATTGATTAGAGTTCTCACTAGTGTCGAGACAGCTAGATTAGTTTATTTCAGTTATATCCATAGCATAATGTTTTATGGGATTTTGCTATGGGGAAATGCGGCTGATTCAGAAACTATTTTTGTTTTACAGAAGAGGGCCATTAGAGTTATTTACAACCTAAAACCGAGAGAGTCTCTTAGAGATAAATTTAAAGAAATAAATATATTAACTTTGGCCTCTCAGCATATTTAAGAAAATTTAATGTATGTTCACAAAAACAAAGGTAGTTTTAGTAAAAAAAGTGATATACATTCTGTAAACACTAGGAACAAACACAAGCTAGTGATACCAGTTTCTCGACTCCACAGAGTCAGTAATTCATTCTTGGGGCAATGTATACGCTATTACAACAAGGTCCCGGAAAGTGTACAGGCTCTCTCTATTAGCAAGTTTAAATGTTTTGTTAAGTTGAAACTGTATAAAAAGGGCTATTATAGTATAAATGAATACGTGGTTGATAATAACCCCTGGGAATGAGGTGATCGCTTCCAAGCTGTTTCTAAAATAAATTTTGTACTTATGTAGTTTGTACAACCATTATTGTATAATTTGCTTTAAAAAAAGTCCCGCTGGGTTTCTTGCTGGTTCTTCCCAGGACAGAGGTTTTTTATCGAAACAATAGTAAAGTAAAAAATGACTTACAATAAGAATTACACATGTGATCTATATTGAATAAAAAATTATTCTATTCTATTCTATTCTATTTTATTCTATTCTACTTACCATCAGGTGGGCTGTGTGCTCGTTTGTCACCCTTATCCTATAAAAAAAAAATAAAAAAAAACTCAATCAGCTTCAAATACATGTCCTAGGGCTAAATACAGGTAGGACTGAGAGCGACTTGTCAAGTGTTCAAAAATATATGTGCACATCACATGTTACCTATTACTTCCCAGTGTGTTTAGTTTTGTTATTTTTGAAGTTATTTTTGACTAATTGCTTTTTCATACGTTTTTAATATATTATACAAAGAAACTTGTCATAAGTGTTTTAACATTAAATTTTATAATATTCTAAAAAACCGTATTTTTCTTTTGGGATTGGGGCCAAACGCAATCCTTGTGTGTTTATTGAAACATAATTAAAACGTTGTAGTTCTAGTGTTGTCGTGCTGTTATGTCCATCCCATTAATGTATTGTTATTTTTAAACGTTTTTAACTAATTATAGTTAAAAACGTTGACTCGATTATTTTATTTAGTATAAAAGGGTAGTGTTTGAGGTAATCGAGGCAGTGCAGCTTCTACCCATATTAAGTGCATATGGTACATGCCGTTCGCGGCTTTTGTACATTTTTTTTAATTATTTTAATATTGGGGAAATAAACCAAAAGAACTTTCGGGATTGGGTGTAAACGTTTGTTTTTAAAACACCTTCAGAGCGGCCCTCCTAACAGTGCGAATGAGATGACATGTAAGAACAGTATCGTGCATTTTCTACAAGTAGTAAAAAAGTTTTACTTTGAGACAACAGGCATAGTCCAAAAACTTCATTATTGTGGTTCAAATTTCATCATCACTATCATCATCGGCTTTACCCAAGGAATGCCACCAAATACGGTTTTGAGCCATCTGCGTCTATCGACTTTCTGCATGATTTAGCAGGTCGTCATTCAATCGATTGGGGGACAGCCCTACACTTCAGATCACGGTACGGTTCGGTTTAATAGAAAATGAAATTTGACTAATAAAATTTACTTTCTTC